CAGTAGTGCTCACTTTGAGAAACTTTGATCCATAATCATGATTTTCAGTAACAAAGTCCACTGTTATCCTTAACATTTGTTTGGGATTCTGGCTTTAGTGGAGCAGAACTCTTTTTAACTAGGTTATAAGTAGGATCTTTGAGACCAGGGACTTTCTTTTTTTCTTAATTAATTAATTAATTTATTTTACTTTACACCATTGTATTGGTTTTGCCGTACATTGACTTGAATCCTCCACGGGTGTACATGTGTCCCCCATCCTGAACCCCCCTCCCACCTCCCTCCCCATCCCATCCCTCTGGGTCATCCCAGTGCACCAGCCCTGAGCACCCTGTCTCATGTGTTGAACCTGGACTGGCGATTTGTTTCACATATAATTTACATGTTTCAATGCCATTCTCCCATGTCATCCCCCCTCGCCCTCTCCCGCAGAGTCCAAAAGACTGTTCAATACATCTGTGTCTCTTTTGCTGTCTTGCATACAGGGTTATTGTTACCATCTTTCTAAATTCCATATATGTGCGTTAGTATACTGTATTGGTGTTTTTCTTTCTGGCTTACTTCACTCTGTATAATAGGCTCCAGAAAGAGACACGTGTATCCCAATGTTCATCGTGACACTGTTTATAATAGCCAAGACATGAAAGCAACCTAGATGTCCATCAGCAGATGAATGGATAAGAAAGCTGTGGTACATATACACAATGGAATATTATTCAGCCATTAAAAAGAATACATTTGAATCAGTTCTAATGAGGTGGATGAGACCAGGGACTTTCAAGGCTCTGCATGGCAGACTTTTGTTAATGATGTTGATAGATAAATAATCAGAAAAGGGCAACTAGACTTTTCTGTTTATGTGGCCTTTGTGCGTATACTACTGCATATAAATGTAAATGGGCAAAAAGTGCCGGTTTCCATAGTACAGCCTCTCTTTAGGCTTCTGTTAGGGCTGAAGTGAGGCCTTCATAGAATTTATTTTTCCCGGAGTATATTGTTCAGTGGTGTGTCATACTCACCAGTTACTCTTACTTCATTGTTTGGGATAATTCTTAACTAGATATTTGATATTCCAGTTGTGTGATCTGAGTCTTAAGGGCAGGAACCAATGCATAAAATGAGTGCTCAATAGATACTTGTTTAATCTCATAGCTGATTAAGTGGATACTTCAGTTCTGGTAACCGTGGGGGCATATCATTAAATACTATAGACCAATGTTCTCTAGGTTCAAATTATTCATATACTACCAGCATAGTTTTTGCCTTAACTGTTGATTAGCATACACTATTGTCATAATTTTAGTCATATTTATATACCACCTAAATGAGCTATTATTTACTTAGTATTTTAAGTTAAATTTATTTAAAAGGAAACAGTATCACTGTTGTAAAAGGAAAGCTAGTTTGACTTGCTATGAATAGATATAGGTCTACCATTCCTTATCTCAAACCCTCAAATTATTTCAAAATTTAGGTATTTTAAGATTTTTCAAAATGTTACATGGTATACAATCATACATTATGTAACACTGCTATTGCTGTCTGAGGTAGAAGCCCCTTAATCAGATACAGTAATGTTTTTCTCCAATGAAATATCTAAATATTCATAGCAAGTGGAATAAAGAATATAAATAACCTGTGTCAGCTTAGGTTAGGTTTTATTGTCAGATCAGGGCTTTTTGGATTTCAGTATTGAGGAGAAGACAATGAAAGAAAAAAGACAGTAATTTTTTAAGCTCTTTTTGTTGAAGTCCCTGAACCTGAAGTCTTCTTGTCCTTTTGTTGTGAAAGGAGATTAGAGAGGATTAGAAATGTGTTAAAGACACATCACCTCCATACTGAGACTTTCTTCCCCAATGTAACTTTTATACATTTGTGTCTGTGGGACCCAATTTAAGTTTTGGCATTTATTTTTTTGAGCTATTCCAATTATTTGTAAGGATTGATATTTTATGACTTTCATTCTTAGAGTTCTTTTAAAGAACAAAGAGAAAACAAAATTCATTCCTTTACAATTACCCTTTCGACCCTTTTAAAATCTGAGATGTATTATGAAATCCTAGTGATTTTACATTTCCAGTGTCTTGAAACAGTTTGCTATTTGATCATCCTAGGAATTATTTCATCATTACTCATCAGTTATTCCAATTGTGGTAAAAAGACCAGTAAGAAAACAGAATGATGAAATCATATAGTATTGCATCATCTTTCAAGAAAAGGTATATAAATAGTCTGAACAAATATCTTTATAGTTTTTTTAAGCTTTCAATGAATACAATTGCTAATTCAGATTTAAAAGATTTTTCACCCATGATGGTAAAAAGGAAGAAAATTGCCCATATGTTAAATAATTATTTAGATAAATCAGATGATGCATGCAGAGACACAGTACTCTAGAAATTTATATGATTCTTAAATGGATGCATGCTGAAGGTACACAAAGGTGTATTCAAAAGTGATTGGAAGGAAATAATTGATGTTGAAATGAAAAAAAGTCACATGTAGTAAAATAATTTTATATGTGATTGATCATTTCAGTTCATTTTTATAAACCTAAGAATGAAAGTGTTTTGCACAGTTAGGGTACCAAAAAATGGCTGAACTTTGCAACAAAATTATGAACTGTCAAAAGTTTTTAAAAGTATTGTGTTTTGATGGTGCAGCTCCAAGAAAAAGAACCAGAAATAATGATAAGCTAGAGTCTGTTGGAGATATATCTTCAATTTGAAATCAGTATTATAGGATGGATATGTTCAAGGTTTGTTCATGATAGCTGATAAGCAGCTAGTTGCATTCAAAACACATTTCATACTTCAGATGTTTATATCTTTGAAACCTGGAAACTATGTTTATAATCTTATTTATATTGCTTTAAAGTTATTTTACATTATCCTGTCATTCTTACTTCTGTAAATTTTTTGTAAAAAGACCATAAAAAGGGTCCACTGAATCCAGGTAAAAATGATGATGACTATTTTGCTGGTATACTGAGGGTTAATTAGGTTTATAAGAAATTTGAAAAGGAAGTAAGGTTTCCATTGTGATTCAGTGTTACTTAAGTATGTCACTGAATGCTGTCTTCCATACTGCCTAGACTATCTCAAGCATGCCCCAGTCTCGGGCATCCCTCTTACAAGTTTCTGTTGAAAGAATAAATTATTGGACTTACAGTTATTGTGACAGACTGAACACACGCATCAAATCTTGTTCCTTCCCCCTAAACTCTGCTAAACTATAGTGAAAGTACTTTTAAAAAGACATAAATCCATTAATAGGAGAGGAGACAACAGCAACAAAGTTTTCAAAGCTGGAGAGCAAATGGTTGAGATAACTAACTTAGCAGAGTCCAGAGGCAAATGTGAAGGTGGTAGTGGGGTGAGCACTAAGTACCTCTGGGACCAAGGCCTGAGGAACAGATACCAAGACAAGGAGGTTGTATGAGAGTTGTTGAAACCCAGCTAGAGCCCTAGATTCTCTGAGGTGCTTCTCCCTCATTCCAGAAGTTAAGTTTCATCCTTTAGAGAGAGTGGAGCACTGGCTCTCTGGACTGGGAGAGTTCATAGTTGTAGGCACTCTACTAAAAGCTTAAGATGTGCTCGATAGCTCTGTTACCTACTCAGCTTCCCTGAGCACTGGGAACCAGGCCTTCCAGAGAGGGTACTGGAAGATTCTTCTTTGGGAATTCTGATCAAGAAGAAAGACCTAAGTTACTGAGTTGGGCACTCACTCTTCCCCCCGACCCCCGCCTCCACTTCCCCGAGAAAAGTCCATGCAGATCACCTGTTGTGAAGCCTGTTGTCAGTAATCCCCAGTCATGTACTCAAAGCTGTTATTAGTAATTTCTAGTACTCAGAGCTTTTGGTCTAGCTCTTTAGAAGGTCCTGTTCTTAGTAGTGAGCCAAGGATCAGTATGTTTTGAGGGAAGTCTTCAATACAGATGATAGAGACCAAGTGGAGTACAGAGGGAAAAGAAACTCTAAAACAAAAATAAACCCCAAAAATATAACAAAAACCACAAAAATCCTCAGAAATAAAAAGGGGTATTGCATCCTAGAAACAAAAATAGGACGTTGAAATAAAAAGGATCATTTAATTGACATAAAAGAACTCTTGAAATTAAAGACATGATGGCAGAAACCATTTTACCTAGACTCTTAGGTACTTTTTGGGTGCTTACATCCATAACTATAAATAATAGACTTATGCTATTGCTTCTTGTCACCTTAGATGTTATACTTGCTGCAGTAGATTAACACAGTTATTCTTCTCAATCTTCTCTTCTCCTTTCTCTTAATATAGTTATAGCATTTAAAGGGGCTTCCCTGATAGCTCAGTTGGTAAAGAATCCACCTGCAATGCAGGAGACCCTGGTTTGATTCCTGGGTCGGGAAGATCTGCTGGAGAAGGGATAGGCTACCCACGCCAATATTTTTGGGCTTCCCAGCATTTAAAATTATAATATTTACCTTTGGCTTTTAAAAGTTATTACTTAAATCTCTTTCTTACATTGTCAAGTATGTAAATGAAATCAGTGTCACTTGTGAGTTCTCTCTCCCTATCTATTCTTGCACATAGATGCTTTATCATCTAGAATTGAAAAGGAAGATAAGCTAGTTTTGTAAATAACCTTACTTATGTAAAGTATAAAGTTTGATCTTTTTTTGGACTGAGATTCGGAATGAAGGTATTCTTACCTGTCATGCATCGTAAGCAGAGTAGGACATCTGTGTTTCACTTCCCACTTTTGAATTTTCAAGGCTGTAAAAGTATATAACTGCTTTTTAGAGGATGGGTGTGGACTTTTCCATGGTAACTGCTGAAGTGGCAGAACCTTGACTGTGCTGTTTTTCAAACCGTTCGACTGTGATCCAAAATAAATATTATATGTCTATGTGTTATCTCTGTATCTATCTATATGAAATGAAATCTCTTTAATCCTTGCACTGAGTTGGCTGTTTTGATAGTCTGAACTAATGTGTTTCCTTTTTTTCTTGGTATAGTCAGTTGACAAGTACTTCAAGCTTCCTCATGCTTCCAGTAAGCCACCTCGGATTTCAGGAAGCCTGGTGGACACTTCCTATAAAACATTAAGATTTGCGTTCAGAGCATCACTGAAAACAGCCATCTATAGGATAACTACCACATTTGGTGAACATCTGAAGTAAGTTTACCTCTTCTGTTCACTTTCAAGAGTTCCCCTGAGAAACAGGCATGAGAATTAAGGCTCATAAATTGAAAGTGGTTTTTTGGGGACCTTCTTGATTCCTGCTGGGAAGTAATATCTTAGATTTAGATTTAATATTTGCATTTTAAAAATTGGCCTCTTGTATAAGCTTTGGGACCTTCTTTCAGATGGATTAAAAAAAGAGGATAGAAAGTTATAAAAGCAGCAAATGTAATTATATATTGTTTTCTTAAATTCCTAAAATAACCTTAAGGGAGAAAAAAGGCAAAATGAATACTCTCCAGAAAAGCATATTAAAAATAATTCTGTTATTACATCTTGGTTAGCAAACCAGGACTTGGGGTGAGCAGAGTATTCCATAAATGAGTCCTTGGTGCTTTGTGAATCATGCTGGAAAAACAGCAACAGATCATAACACCTTCAGAAACGGAACCAGAAAGAAAACCACAAATGCCAAGCTTGTGTATATTTAGTTTCATTGATGTTTACTGCTTTCTTTTCATGAAATAATCTAGCTAGGCAGTGTAAGGGATACTAGTTTACTAACTAAATTATGTTTATCATAATTGTAAATAAACTTTAAAAGATTGCTCTGTTTTTTGCTGTATGCAATTAATAGTTTAGAACTTCCTCAAACTAGCTGCTTTTAGAAATAGTAGTATATTTCCTTTTACTTCCGTAAGGCAAATACATAAAACATACTATATACATACATAAGGTAGCCACAGCAGCAAGTTTATGGAACACTTTGGTTCTGTGTGGGAATACAGAAAACCTGTAGATAACCCTCTGTCCTTAAGAAGTTTATTCATTTGTTTAAAAACAAACCAGAAAAAAAAAAAAACACGTTCATTGTGTGCTTTCTAGATCTGCAGTCTCTAATATGATAGCCATGTGTTGCTATTTAAATTTAAATTAAGTTAAATAAAATTGAAAATCCAGTCTGTCACTTATATTGGCCACCTTTCAAGTCCTCAATAACTACACATGACTACTGGCTACTATACTGGACAGCTTAGGTATAAAACATTTCCATCATTGCAGAAAGTTATTTTGGACAGTGCTATTCTAGACAATACACTTAGCACTTTTCATTTATTCTTCTCAAAGAGCCTGTGAGGTGTGGAGATTATCATAATTGTATAATATAGAAACTGAGACTCAGCTTAAGAACATGCCTGATAGCACCATCAAGTCAGTGTTAGAACATAAACCTGAAATTAGGTCTTTCTTGCTCTTAAGATTCCACCTTCTTACCCTATACAACACTAAACTCCCTCCAGGATGTCAACTGTAAGGTTTAAGGTATAAATGTAAGGTACAAGATGTAAGGTACTCTTAGAAAATTCTCAGTGAATTCAGATAATGAAATACATACGATGATTGATGTATATTGATGATACAACCAAAACAGGAAGAAAAAGGGAAAATAGATTTCTTCCATAAGAAAAGAAGATAGATGATTATTAAAAAAAACTGGAAGAATGAAACTCTGCCTTAGTTTCTTTTCTCCGAGTAGAGCCATATATTATATATGTACTAAAATTGATGAAGCCAGTGAAGACTATTTTATGCAAATATTGGACAGAATGGTAATAGTAGAAGCATTAGATTTAGAATTAAAACATTTGGATATATATCTGATTACACTACTGACTGTCTTTTGTAGTTGTGGACAAGTTATCTATTGATTTAAGTAACTTCCAGGTAGTAACTTATGCAGGTAGTAAGTTGCAGAACCAGAAATTAGACTCTAAATCTTTCTGACCCTAGAATTCTATATACAAACCTCTGAAAACCATTCTGATACTGTTTTTCCTGCATGAAAAGGGTATATTATTCATCCTACTTTATTTCATTTGCTGTTAATAGAGATAAAATGGGATCATACATATGTAAAGCCCACATACATTATATATTATTGTGACAACAACTATTATTATTGTATAAAAGTGAAAGTTGCTCATTCATGTTTGACTCTTTGCAACCCCATGGACTATACAGTCCATGGAATTCTCCAGGCCAGAATACTGGAGTGGGTAGCCTTTCCCTTCTCCAGGGGATCTTCCCAACCCAGGGATAGAACACAGGTCTCCCACATTACAGGTGGATTCTTTACTAGCTGAGCCCCAAGGGAAGCTCAGGAATACTGGCATGGGTAGCCTATCCCTTCTCCAGTGGATCTTCTGACCCAGGAATCAAACCAGGGTCTCCTGCATTGCAGGTGGATTCTTTACCAGTTGAGCTAACAGGGAAGCCCCCATTAATACCTGGTTTATTCATTCCCAAGAGCTTTACCTCTGAGAGCCAGGTATAAATGACGTAAACAGTCTAGGTGTGAAAACTAACACAGACGAGTTACACATTGGAGACCTTCATTTAATATCTGTTTACTCTTAATTTAGACAATTTTGATTTACTGACTTTTCAACCAATAACATTAAAATTTGAGAGGAAGACTACTATTAGAGTTGAGTATTAACAACAGTAAGAGAAGTATAGTGCCTGCTGGCAGAGGGGAATCATGAGAATAAAAATCAAAAGAAAATCATGAGAGAAGACTTGGTGTTTGAAAAAATTCAGAGCCATTTCGTTAGAGATGACAGCCTCCCTGGCACTGAGAGAAAGTCTGAATAGTAAAATATACTTGAGATGGTTCAGTTGAGTGGCAGCTACATGGTTTAAGAAAGCAGAGATGTAAAATGTGTAAGGTGTTTTAGGATAATTTGTAGCAGAATTATTATAATAAGCCTTTTGACACTTTTAAAAGTGGCGACCTTCAGTTACCTGGAATTTTATTATTCAGTATGTGAAAGTCGCTCAGTTGTGTCTGACTCTTTGTGACCCCATGGACTATAGAGTCCATGAAATTCTCTGGCCAGAATACTAGGTGGGTTGCCATTCTCTTCACCATTATTATTCAGTAAGGATGCAGTATTATCAACAACTAGAAAGCTGGAATCTTTCATTGTATTCAATTTCTGCTTAAAGGTTTAAAAGAAAGCTTTATACTAGTTTCAGTATATATTTGTCCCACTTTTGTCAAGGTAATGTATTTTTGCAGGGGTGAGGGTGGGAAGAGAACTCAATTTCCCCATCCAAGACATAACTTATGTTCAAAGGGAAAAGTAAATCTAAACCACCAAGCTGTTACCTTTGAAAACGATTAGTGGAGTCTATTGTATTTTATCCAAACATCTTAGTTTAAAGGATTTTATATTAAAGGCAATTCATATACTCCACAACTCAAAGATAATGTTGGAATCTGGTTTAAATAAAATAATAAAATCCAGAAAAATCTACTTCACAGCCTGAAACTCTGCACAGCAGGTTCCCCAGCAGAGCAGGTTACAGTTGATGCCTTCAGTTGTCAGCCTTAATTTTCTTTGGGCTTTTAGAAGGTAGAAGCATGCTGTTGCACAATGCATGCCCTCCTCTCATTAGATTAAGGAGGGTTTTTATCCAGCTTTTTTCAGAAGTACTAAATAAGTGAAGATTTCTATTCATTTTTAATTGTTTTGAAAAATATTGACTCTGTGCTCTGTGGTTCACTTAATATGCTTAATGTAAAATAAAGCTTATGCTTTGAATTTATGTCTCATTTAGTGCTGTGCAAGCATCTGCAGAACATCAGAAGAGACTTCAGCAGTTTTTGGAGTTCAAAGAATAGTTAAGTAATATAAACTGTGTTCATTATACTGCTGATACAACTACAGATGGGACAGTAAATGTTCAGCATTCTTGGATCAGAAGAAAATGGACTAATTAGATGCTTCCTTTGTCGTGGTGGTTGCTTTGAAAACTATACTTTAATGGGAGAAATCATGGAAAGAAATTCTCAACAGAAAAACCGAAAACTGCCTTTTCTGTACTGATTGCTTTTTGTGTGTGTGGCATAATAAACTCTTTATTCAATTTTACAGAAGCCTCAATGGCGGTAGAAATGTTTGTAGCTTATGCAGCTTAATAATAAGAACTAGAAAATTTTTAGAATTTTAAGAGGAGTAGAGGCAGTTCAGAAGGTAAAATAGGTCAACTTGATCTAGTCTTCCTTCCTAATCTTTCTGAGAGGTTAGCTCTCTGTAAACTCAAAACGAGTAAACTTTTTTGGAGTAGTTTCTGTTTACTGAAGGATAAAAAGAGTAACAGTGGAGAAAAAGTCACAGAAAATCCTGTCTAAAGGACATATTTTGTTAATCTGTTAGGTTGTGTTTTTGTTTTTGGAGACAAATTAAATTTGCATGATTGTCAAAAAGAAGTCTCAATTTACAGATGCTAACTCTATGTAAAGGAATGTGGAAAAATTCAGCTCTTAAGTTACAAGATGAAACATGCACATTTGGTTTTGAAAAGATAATTGACCAACATCTATGAATTTATTTTGTGTCATGCTAGTAAACAATGTGTATGGGTATTTTCTCAGCTAGTTTTTGCTTTCTTTTTCTGGAACAAAACATTAAGTGATTGCCAGGTTTTTCAAGTGCGAGAAAAAGTTTTGCAAGAAAACCGGGAAATTTTCCTCCCCCCCCACCCCCCCCACTCTCCCCATCTTCATTAGATCAGATTATTTTGTAAAGCAAGCGTATTGTCCTCACAGGGGAGCAACCTTTGATTTGTTATCTGGCTGGTTAAAATATATTAGGAGCATCTTTACACCCAGAAACAGCTTAGTCATCAGGTAGCAAGTGAGACCAAAATGTCAGAGGGATTAGTGTACTTAGGAGTATGTTGTATGTCCAAAGTGAGTAGGTGATTTTATAATTTATTAGATCAGCTTTGGAGATGAAAGATTGGAAATCCTAGTGGTAGACATTCACTGGATTAGCTTTGGACTGAAATACCGCCTTATAGTCCTTTTCCCGTTATCTTTTCCCTCTAGTGTCCCTAATTTTTTCTTTAAAGTCAGCACAGGACTGTATATGAATCTTTAATGTGGTATATATGTCTACCATTTGTCTGATTACTTGATGTATTATATCTTGATTTATTTGTTGCCCTTTCAGCCAGCACATGCCAAATTATAAATGAATCCTGCTGGCCTTTATGAGACAGCTTCCCGGTTGTCAAGTGTTTGGAGTATGTATTGCCTTTTTTTTTTTTTTTTGGCATCTGAAGTGGAGTTGATCTGTTTTTTGAATGTAAAAGTTGAATTTTGAATGTAGAAGTTACTTACAGATGACCAGAAACCGTTGAGTTCCATATTTTAGTCATTGAGCTTTTTATATTCCGTTTTCTGTGGTACCCCTGTTTGAGGCATTTTGGGAGAAAAGGACTCTTAACTTTATGCTTCCATAAAGAATTTAAACTCTGACTTACACTCGGATAAAATGTCTGGCTTTGTTTTAAGGTTTTTTTGTTTTTTTTCCTGTCATTTCCCATATGCTTTGGGCAAACTATATTTGATGAGCAATGTGAAAATTTCTGAGGTGTTCATCCCTATTTTTTCTGAAGATAATATGCCTTGTACTCAATACAGTTCACATAGTGTCTGCCTGGTGGAAATTTGGAACTGCCTCCCCAAACCTGGATTGTATTTAGTAGATGAGGAAATCAGTTCATTTTCCTCATTGTGTCAATAATCTATACCCTGTCTGTTGGAGAAGGGTATGGCTTGATCGCCTGTTAGGGAAGAGAGCTCCTTCGCCTGTCTGCAGTAAGGAGGATCTTAGGAAGGCCAGCAGGAGGAGAGAAGCATTTCCTTTGATGAAGTCACATCCTGCCTGTGAACCCACCGATACTCTTGATCTTGGCCTGAAAATTAGAGGGTGTTCTTTAAAAGTGTTTTCTGACTGTCAGTACAAAACGTGATTGTATCAGCTCTTGTAATGTTTTCTTGACCCTTATGGAAGGTATAAATCCACGTAACTTCTTTCCTGGAGAACTGGGAAAGTGTCCTAGAATTTAAAAAAAAAAACAAAAAACAAGCTTGTATAGTTGAGTGGACATGGATAAGCAACAGTTTGTTACTTTGCTGGGTTTATTCCTTGGTAATGGTTCTCTGTCTTCCTGTAAATATGTTTATATCCTTTTGTATATCACTGATACTGAATTGGGTAGAAAAATAAATTGACAGTTTTTAGAAATGGGACTGTTAATTGAAATATGCATATCTGTGAGATCAGTTATTTAATTTCTGGTATATATGTGTATGTGTTTCCTTAGCCATTTTAATAATTCTCAGAGCCGATACTATAAAACCTGAAACATGCCTTGAGAAATCAGCTTTTGCCTCTGACTAGACTCATTTGGTGGGTGATCTGTAATGGTAACTGAGGAGCCTAAATTCTAAAAGCCTCTTTCTTCGAGGATGCAGGTGCTGAAAGCCATTGCTTAATAGAGGTTTCTTGTCTTGCCAGAATAATGTTTCTAAATGGATCATATTCCCCCAGGCTAAAAGTTATGTCTGTCAACTTTACTTAAATTAACCTGAACTTCTCCTCAGGGTAGTTGAGGTACTATAACTAAGGCCTTCAACTTTCCCTGTTTGCTATCCCAATCCATAGTTATCTTTCTTTAGAACCAAATAGCTTAAAACAAAAATGACTTTAGTTCATCAGTTAATAATTTACCTATTCTTAAAAAGCTGCTGACCACCATTCTAAAATGAGTAAAATCATTGTTTTGAGGGGGAAATGGGGTACATAGCACATTACCGCCTTAAGAGTTCTCAGTCATGGCCCTAAGCAGCTTTGGCAGTTGCTGTAGTGATAGGTGCTTTAATGTGGAGCTAGCTAATCATCCAAAAATACTCACCTAATGCCTCTTACGGCCCAGCTACTAGAAACAAATTGACCCGTGAACGAGACAGGCCTGACCTCTAGGAGTTTATAATCTAATGCAGTGGCGTTTGAAACTTGGGGTCACAAGCATCGACTCACAGGGAGTGCTCATTGGAGGTACAGAGTCAGCTCCACTTCAGTACAGATTCTGCCTCAGGAGGTCTGGACTAGTTCCCAAGAGCTGTAGTTTGTAGCCGATTCCAAGCAGTGATCTCACAATCACACTGTGAAAAGGGTTTATCTTAGATCAGGAGTTATCGGATTTAGCATGCATCAGAACCAGTGGAAAGCTTGTTAAAACACAGATAACTAGGCCCTCTTCCCAGAGTTTCAGATTTTAGTAAGTCTGAAGTGTTCAGTCAGTAAGCTGTGTCTGACTCTGACTGCATGGACTGCAGCACACCAGGCTTCCTTGTCCTTCACTGTCTCCCGGAGTTTGCCGCAATTCATGTCCATTGACTCGGTTATGTTATCTAACCATCTCATCCTTTGCCACCCTCTTCTCCTTTGGCCCTCAGTCTTTCTCAGCATCAGGGTCTTTTCCAGGGTGTCTGCTCTTTGAATCAGGTGGCCAAAGTATTGGAGCTTCAGCATCAGTCCTTCCAGTGAATATTCAGGGTTGATTTCCTTTAGGATTAATTAGTTTGATCTCCTTGCTGTCCAAAGGACTCTCAGGAATCTTCTCCAGCATCACGATTCCAGAGCATCAATTCTTCAGCACTCAGCTTTCTTTATAGAACTCTCACATCTGTACATGACTTACTGGAAAAGCCATAGCTTTGACTATATGGACCTTTATTGGCAAAGTGATGTTCCTGCTTTTTAATATGCTGTCTAGGTTTGCCATAGCTTTTCTTCCAAGGAGCAAAGCGTCTTTAAAAGTCTGAGGTGGAGCCCAAGGATTTTTAGTGTCCAGACACTAAATGTCCAGACACTATGCTAGTCAGGAGACCACATTTTGAAAACCACTGCCCTAGTGGGTTTTCTCATATTTGGTATTCTCTCAGAAGCATATGAACAATGATTGCTATAAGGTGGAGTTCTTACATCTGATTGATTTGTTGGAAAGCGTGAAGAATATGGTTAGGTCCCATAGGTAATGCAGGAATGCTCAGAAATATTCTGGTGTTCTGATGCTTATTTTGAGTTTGCAGCAGGGATTTGCCCAGAGTTGCTGTCTTGCACCTAGCCTTCACTGGAATTTCTGTCTTGGCACACTTAGCATTTTTCACAATGAGCTTAGCCTTCCCTCATACTCCCAGATAGATTTCAATGTGTTTTTTCAATGCTTTGTCATTCTTTTTTGGACCTTATCACATTGGATTGTAACTTAACTGATTACAAATTTGCTTCCCCTTGTAGATTATGAGCACTCTTTCCTTCCAGGATTCCAGATACACCTTCTCATTGTATCACCCTGTCTTATAATTATTTCGACCTTCCATGCTTTATTCTGCATAGTTCCTTCTGACCTATCTTACAAGTCATTTTCTTCAACTGTGTCTAATCAGTAAACTTACCTACAACATGAACAATAGTTTCACGATAAGTGAAAGTTAGTAGTCATTTAGGGATTACTTTTTAATTTCATCTTCAGCAGACCTTATCTACAATTCTGAATTCCAGAGGATTTTTTTATTGTTAACTTTGGTGACAGAACATATTTGGCAGCTAAATTGGGCCTTAACTGATATGAAGCTACTTGTAGACTTCATTTACTCCTTGTAATATGACTGTTTACATTCACTGTAGTGTGATGATGTAGGTGCTGTCCCAGACCCTATGGGAGTGTTATGTAATATGCATCTTTATTACCTTTCTAAAATCCTTTATTCAAAACTATGGGCCTTAGGAGTTTAAGACAAAGCATTGTAGACCTGTTTTTGTAAGA